GTGAAAAATGTTGGCAAAACATGAAAGTGGGATTTTGTGGGTTTGAGGTGTGGTCGAGGCATGAGGCGGTGTGGCATGCGGGAGAAGGCCTCCGGGCCGGGCGCGGGGCTGCTGTCGCCCGTCGGGCCGGGTGGTGGCGGTGCCCCCAGAGCTCTGGCTGCTGGGACAGCTCCAGCCTGGGTACAGGCTGGTGCTGGCTCTCAGATGCCGCCCGAAAATGCAGCGTGGCCGCCCCCCACCTCCCGGGCCGGCTTGTCCACCGCCGCCCGTGTCGCTGAGGACAGACTCCTGCAACCCCAGCCCGGGAGTGCCTCCCACCTGCCTTCTAAGACCCTGGTGAGTCTGCTCGGCAGAGTTCAGCACCTGTCCCGACCCTGTTGTGATAGGGGGACGGGGCGCACACACAGGCAGGGCGAGGAGGCACGCATCCCCAGGGGCCCCTTCCAGGCTCCACACCAGCGATGGGGCCTCGTCTGCGTGTACCGGCTCTCGCACGTACCAGCCGTGTCCCCCACTGGGTCCCCTCACTTCCCAGCCTCAGTTTTCTCAGCTGTGAAATGGGTCTGAGGTGGAATCAGGAGCCAGTAAATGCAGCCGCAGACCTCCCTTCAAATATCTCTGTAAATGGCAGAAAGGCTTTTCAAAAGGGGAAGCAAGAAAGGTGGCCCTCAGCGGAAATCCCAGAGTGGCTGCATGAGGCTGCCAGCAAGGGGGAAAACCGTGTCCCAAGCACAGGGCGGGCCTCCGCGCCACCTGGTCCTGCCTGTTGGGGAGCCCCAGGCTGCCCGCGCCCGGCCTGGGCACCTGGAGACAGAGCTGCCCCTGCCTGGGGGCTGCGGCTGCCTGTCCCCTTAGGGGGTCCTGCGGAGACCCCTCCGATTCCTGCGAGCAGTGCGGGCATGGGCTCTTCACACCCCACTGCAGCTCTAGGATGAAGACAGGGGGCCCCAGCCTCCTTCCACCTCCCCTTGCCCTTGGCCCTCTACCGACGAGCCCCAAGAGATGCACTCAGTGTCGGACCCCAGACTTTGTCCACAGGATGGCTCTAGAATCCAGACATCACTGTTCGCATTTCTAGCGCGCTGGCCATGCCCCGAAGTCACTCTGGCAGAGCCTGGGGCCAGGCTGAGCTCACGCCCTGCCCGGGGGTTTCAGTGGTGGGAGGAGCTCCGGGCCAGCCCTGGGGACCGTCCCCACGTGCAGTCTGAATGGTGACGGCTCTGCCTATGGCTTCCCGCACACGTGCCCCGGAGGGCTGCCCATCGTGGCTGTTCAACAAGATGCTGGTTGCTGCTTCTTCCGGAATGCATCCCTGCTTCCCTCTTTTTCTTTCTTGGGGAAGGAGACCCCATCTCTGCACACGACCATGTCTTCCAGCCTCTCGCCGCACCCCCTCCCCAGCCCCCCACCTCGGGAGCCGCTCCCTCCTGCCCTGCGGATGCCGCACCTGCGACGCCGTCCCAGGGAATCTACCCGCGTGGACACTCCTGCATCCTGTTCAGCCCACCTGCACGGAATCCTGCTTCCCTAACCTCCCACCTGTGCCATCTGGGCACTGGTTCCCATTCTGGAACTTTCCTTCACCACCATCTTTGGTTGGAGCCACCAGTTGTGATTCTGATCTCCTGTGTCGGGGGTGACTCCCACGGGGCACACCTCCAGGACAGCACCTTCCTCTACTTTTCCCAGTGTCCCATGCAGCTACGCCAGCTCATGTGACCAGTGCCGGCCAGTGGGGCCTTCCCGCCTCTCCTGGCCGTGGTCGAGGCTCCGACGGTGCAGACACGTGGCAGCGGAGAGCCGGGAACCTCACGGTGCTTCACCTGGTGAGGACTAACCTTCGGTGGCAGGAAGCCACTGACATTTGTGGCACCCTGTGCCCCTCCTCCTGCACAAAGCGCAGCCAACAGAATCCAGGCTGAGTGGTCTCCCCAGGATCACGGAGGGCAGACTCTGGGCCAGGGCGCACGGCTACGGGTGAGAAACTGGGAAAGTGTCCTAGGATCTTTCCTGCGACGCCTGCGAATTTCCTCACACAGTCAGACCCGCGTGATCCGGTCTCCGGGGCCAGCGCCCCCTCCGAGGGCGTGTTCCCGGGTCTCGGGGATCCCCTCTGATGGCCCCGTTGCTCTCTTCCCCACCATCACTCCTTCTGGATCTCCCGGCTGGATCCTCTCTGTCTCAGCTTCTGGTTCTGCATTCTAGAAGTTTCCCCGACCTTGATTTTCCAGTCACGTTAACAATGTGATGCTAGCAACTGTACTTGTGATTCCTCAGAGCTCTGTGCTGACTTTATAAATGTAATACCTTCTTGAACACCTCTGCAGATCAGTATAATTTTTAAAACCCCCTTGTGTCCCAGAGCCAGCCTGGTCTCCAGCATGGACGTACGTGCTGTTGTAGCTACCAGCTCGTGTGATTGGGTCAAACCCCGGGAGGCCCCAGCCGTCGGCTTGGAGGTGATGGTGAGGATGGTCGGTGCTGGGCTGTGCTCCGGGAGCCGGGCCCCCTGGTCGTGGCCCCGGATGAGGAGCCAAGACAACGAACACCCTCTAACTTGGCCTTTTTTCAGATGCAGGAGGTTTAGGGTCAAGGCGTCGGTGGGCATTGGTGAAAATCTCCAAACTGCACCCCCAAGCCAGGCAGGAACCTGGAAACAAGCTTCCTGAATCTTCCTCCAGAATAAAGCCTTCAGTTCCTGCGGTCGCCCCTCGTGTGGGCCACAGATGTGTGAGCACCCGGAACCCCACCTCAGGCTGGGCGCGCTCACGGTAGGACATCCACGCGACCCGGTGACGCGGAGTAAGTGTAGAGCCCACGGACTTTCCACACGAACTGCGTCAGCCTGTCGCCTTTCACAGCTGCTCAGTGCCACATGCTCGTTCCCAGCCACCGTCCCCGCGTGTCTGGGCCTCCTGGGGATTCCTGATTTTGCCACCGTGGAGGCCCGCTTCCCTGGCCGTCCGGCCCCAGACGCCCCAGCGGAGGCCCCAGACGCTCCCACGTCTTTAGTCTCAAAGGCCTGGCGTCTAGGTCCACGTGGGCCCTGACAGGCAGACCCCAGGCCAGCCCGCTGCGGGATGCTCTTCAAACCGGTGTGCACACACCCAGGCCCGTTGCTGGGGACAGCCCCACCCCAGGCCGTCCGAGCTGTTTTCCGGGTCCTGGCGTTCACAAGGCATCACAGCGATGGCGGATGCCACGTAAGGAGCGCGTGCTCGAGGACCCTGTCCTACGCCGAATGGAGTAAGAGCAAGCACCACACCGCCCGGGTTCCCATCCAGAGCTGCGGCTCCGGCAGGGGCGAGTCCTGGGACCCCTGTGCCTCAGTTTCCCCAGCTGTACAGGGCGACTGGGACAGCACTTAGCTCACAGCGTGGCTGTGAGGACTGAGTGGGAGGAGGCGGGCGAAGCTCCTGGTCTGGGTGCTTTGCGTGGTTACTGCTCGGCCAGCAGCAGCCGCCGACGCGGCTCAGCCCGCTCAGCCCCTCTGGCCGTTACGAAGGCGCGTGGCTGCAAAGGAATCGTGCCCACCCCGGTCCCACTTCTCCCCAGGGCACCCCATCTCAGGAACCAGCAGCCCCAGCAATGACCACCCCCCTGCCGGGAAACTCGGGGTCGGGCCGGCTCCCCGCTCACGCCCACACCCTCTGGAGCAACGTCAGCGCTCGGGGACCCGGCTGCCCCTCCTGCAGCTGTCCTCACCCTCTGGGGCTTGTCCTAACGTCGCTGGGACGCGGTGCCCTGGCTGGGACTTGGGGGGGCTGCAGCGTGAGCCCCCCAAGCGGGCGGCGGACAGCGCCTCAGCCTCCAGCCGGCCGGCCGTGACCGGTGCAAGCCCAGCCCGGCGGCGGGAACAAACAGGAACCGGCTCGAGCTGCTGTCCGCGAGCCCGGCCGTGTCCTCGCCGCGGGCTCCTCTGAGCGCTCCACCTCCCTATGCTACCCCTCCACCGCCCCGCAGAGGAGCCCGAGACATTGAATTTCATCTTTCCTCGCATGCGTTTGAGGCCCACCCCATGTGCCACCTCCAGGCTTGTCCTAGATGGGACAGCGTGTGTGGAATGTTCTAGACTGCCTTCGGTCACTACAGCCTCTCTGCACGGCTGCTGGTCTCAAGGTAGGCGCTGCTTAGCAAAGCCCGCCTGCCCTTCCCAGTTCCCCGCAGAGCCGAAGGGAGGGTGGGTTCCGTGTGTTCCCGTGTTCCCTCCTCTGTCCTGTGACCACCGGCCCCAGGCTGTGGGCACCGCCCACACGGGACGCCTCGCTGGGACGTCCAATGCCAAAGGAGCCACCACCCCAAGGCTCAGAGGGCCCTCGAAGCATTTCTCCCGGGCGGGTGAGGGGACAGATAAACCAGAAAAGGAATGTTCCAGAAGGATCCAGGGAGGAAGGAGTCACACTGGTGGTGCATCCTCTCCACCATTCCCGGAGGTAGACAGGGAGTCCCCACGGCTCCACCAGGAAAACAGATGGGCAGCCAGTTCCAGCCCTGAGACTGAGACAGTGGCCCCCCACCCCCCCCGCCCCCCGCCAACACCTGTGCTTCCTCTCCATGATCCTCTGCTCACGAGCGGGTAGCCCAGGAGCCTGGAACCGTCTACGGGACACTCGTGGTCTGAGGGAGAAGTGGGCAGTGCTGCCCCGTCCCTCACCCCCGGGCGGGCCCGGGGCCGCTGCTCAGCTGCCCCAGGACAGGAGCCTGACGCCCCCACAAAGGCGATTCGGGGGGCATGAGGGCCCCCGAGCACCCGGCGCTGCCCGGGGGAGCTCCGTGCCGGAGGGAGGGCAGGCCAGGGGCCCTCCCGCCACACGTTAGGGCCCCCCAGGCCCTACTCGGGGTAACAGGCTGCTGCAGGCAACACGAGCTCAGCCTGAGCCCTGTGGGGGAGGTGCCTGGGTGAGGAGGGTCTGGGGTGGGGGGTCCCGGCTCCGGCCGCCACACTGCAGTGCCGCGCGGCCCGGCAGGGGTGAGACACGGGCCTCCCGCCGGCTCCTTACCAGGAAGGCCTGGAACAGCTGGAAGGAGCCAAGGAGCCAGACGTACAGGTGGGAGTGCACCTTGGTGGACGTGCCGTTGAAGGCGTTGGCCACCGCCAGGAAGGAGTAGGGCCCCACGGTGAAGAACTCCCAGTCGTAGGCGCCTGAGGTGGCAATGGTCTGGTTGGCCTCGAAGAGTCGGGTCCTCGGGTTCCACTTGTAGATGACGCTGTCGATGTTGTGGTTATCACCTGCCACCAAGCAGCCGCGTTGGCGGGGAAGGGGGGGGGGGGGAGGCGGACTTCTGAAGCCTCACGGCGGCCGTGGCAGAGCCCTGGCCCGCCCTGGCCCTGCCCCAGGCCGGAGGGAGGGAGGGGTCTGTCCTGTGCACCGAGGCCTCTGGCCGCCGGGCACCTTCCCTGCTCACCCCGCACTCCCTGCCCCTGTGCCCAGAGGAAGGCCCTCCCTGGGTCTCCGCCTTTGAGGGCTCCAGACCTGTTGCCCCGCAGCCCTCTGTCCTGGAGATGGGGCCCCAACCCCTCCCTAGCCTCACTGTTCACACTGTCCCCTGCTCTCTCCGAGAGCCCCCTGCTCTCACTGTCCCCCACAGGTCAGGTCTTTGCACTTCCTGACCCTCTGCCCGGAAGGCCCCTCCCCACAACATGCTCCCAGGAGCCCCCCTGGCTGGGCCAGCCTCTCCCGGAACACTCATTTCCCTGGGGAGCACTGGGGAGTGGGCCCTGGGGTCCCCCTGCCCGTGAGCCGGGAGGCAGGGCTCCTCCCCCGCGGGTTGTGGGCAGAGCTGCCCTGAACCCTGCCCTCGAGAGTTACACACCCAGGAAGGGCCTGCTGCGGTCACTCAGGCCGTCACTGACCCAGAAACCAGGCTTCCCGGCCTCTGCCAGGCCTGTCCCCCCCACCGCACCCGCTGTGTCACAGGGTCTGTGTGCAGAAGGCATGTTCTGGGGCAAACAAGCCCCCCTATCCTTCCAGCGAGTCTGTTCTCCCAGCTGGAGTCCACGCCGACGTCCCTCCAGGGGACAAGGGCATGCCGGGCGAACAGCTGGCCTTCACACCTGCCTCAGTCACCTCCTCCGGGAAGGTTAGTCACTTGGTTGGTTGGTCAGTCAGTCAGTCGGGTGGTCAGTTTCGAATGAGGCAGTCTGTGCAGCCGGGCCGCCTGCGTTTCGGTAACCACTCTCCCAAGGGCAGGCACCCGCACGGACTGTGCCTGCCTGTCCGCCTGCCCGGACGCTGCCAGGGTGCTCAGGTGTGTTCGCCCTCAGACGTCACTGTCAGATGGCCAAGCCCGAAGAATCAGGCTGGGTGTGGCTTATTATAACCTGGTCATTTGGTGAGGGTTCGGGTGAGTCAGCCCCCCTGCCCCGTGGCTCCCTTCCAGGCGGGAGGCCACAGCCTACCTTCCCTGTGGTTGGCCACGGCCAAGAAGTGCTCCCCGGCCATCTCGAAGGCTTCCCAGTCCCGGGCGCTGTGGGTGGGGACCCTCTGGTACGGTGTGAACCTCAGTTTCCTCTGGCTCCATTTGTAAATGACAGAGAACTCCTGGCCCTTTTCATTCGGTTCAAAATTAGCCACAGCCAGGAATACCTGAAAGACAGGACCCGGGACACTTGGTTCTTGTCACCTGTGCGAGGGGCCTGGGGCTGATCTTCTGAGCACCCGCGTCTCTGTCCGATGGCCACTGTCTCTCCGGATCTGTCAGTCACGTTCATCAGTCTGTTGTCTTCATTTTTGCCTCCAAAATCAGAAACGGCTCTGTGCACAGAACTGCGCTCATCACCCGGACGAGCAGAAACACACGATCACGTCCTCCTCCCGCACAGACGCACATGTTGTCACATAGCTGAGTAGGACACGCAAGTGCCCAACATGGGATGGGACCAGGAGGCAAGCCGGCTCGGCGTGTGGGGTGAGTCTGCTGAGCCCGGAAGCGAGCGTGCGCTCAGTGAGCCCGGCACCTGCTTTGGTGAAATGTTTTTCTGAATTTCCTAATATTTCTTGACGTGAAGTTAACATTTCTTAGGGGCCCATGGGTGGCTCAGCTGGTTAAGCGTCTGACTTTTGATTTCGGCTCAGGCCATGATCTCATGGTTGGGGGATCAAGCCCCGCACTGGGTTCTGAGCTGACAGTGTGGTTCCTGTTTGGGATTCTCTCTCTCTCCCTCTCTCTCTCTCTCTCTCTCTCTCTGCCCCTCCCTGTTCGTGCTCTCGCACTGTCTCTAAAATAAAAAAAGAAAAGTTTGCATTTTTTATAATGAAAATGCCGTCAACCAAAAGGCCAGAGCACCAGTCGCTCATTCGCCATGCTGGACTGGGAGCACGGCTGGGCCATGGTGGGCGGTGGCCTAGAGGTCTGTCTGACCTGCTGGCTGTTTCCTCGTCAGGGCGCACCTAGTGAGGGCAGGGCCGCACGGGGCACACTCGTGTTGGCGAGTGAGCGCTTTGGAGGACGGGCACGGGGTCGTGGGGGGAGGCCCTCGGCCACTGCCACTGCAGCAGAGGGTGTCGGGGCTGGGGAGAGAGTGCATCGTGCTGGGGGCGCAGCTCAGACACCCCCCCCCCCCCACATCATGCCCTCTGGCCCATCCAGCCCCGGCTGGGAGGGGGCTGTCCGTGAGGGTCTCACACCCTCACCTAAGGGCCTGTCCCTCTCCGTTTGGACACCGCATGTCCTCGGGACCTGGAGTGAGTCAAGGAGACAGGACCGTGGTCGTCCGCATTCTGAGATGCTTTCTGCGCTGTTGACCAGCTCATCAAGTGAGCCCACAAGCTCTCAATTTAGTCACAATGGGTCTACACGGACTTGACAGCATCTTAGGAATGGTCTTGTCTTTATTTTGTAGGAAGCCACAGGCACGTCACACTTTGGACTTAGAGACCCCACCAAGTGTCTGATCTCGAAAGCCCCTCAGAACCTAAGTAAGACTTTGAAACCATGAGGAATACCCTTCCCGTATTTCCTACGGAAGGGGTCCCAACCTTTGGACTCCGGGTGTCTCCAAGATAAGAGGGATTGAGAAACTCGCCGAACGCAGACTTGCCTTCTTCCCAATGGTGAAGTGTCTCCAGGACTGTGCCTGGTGCGTGGGAATGTTCTGGTAGGAGGCGAACTTCCCATCGGTCCACTTGTAGATGGCGGACGTGGCTTTGCGGTTGGCGGCTGCCACGAAGAGCCCGGCCTCGGGGATGGCAAAGACCTCGATGCCCAGCGTCTCCGAGTCGGTGAACAGGCTTTGATGTTCTTCCACGTAGTCCAGTTTCTCCTTGGCTGGCAGTAGAAACGTGGAGACCCGCTTAATGCCTGCCCGCATGGAAGCCGACAGGCCGGCTTGGGAGTGTGACCCCAGGGCCCCGAGCCGTGACCCCACAGCATCAGCGACTGCCAGGGAGGTTCGCCTGGGGGCATTTCACCCTCACGGAGAGGCCATCAGGGGAGGCTGTGCGGGTTTTAGGGTCTATGCGGCGTCCAGGGACGCTGAAGGGACAGAACTGACGTGTCGCGTCCTCATTAGACATTTCCCACGCCCGCTGCTCTACACAAAGCTGTGCCCATGAGCAGCGGGGTCAGCGGCCGAGGGCGGCGTGGGTGACTGTCCAGAGCGCCCTGGGTGACCTCGACCCCCCTGTCCCCATGCGGAAGGCTCTGCCGGAAGGTCCCAGGGGAACAACATACATCCCGGCTCCTGGTGTCATCCCCAGCATGTGTGACGGGGGCAGACACGGCACGAGGAGGGTGTCCCCTCGACGGGGACTGGACGTGCACGAGGGGAGGGGTGGCGAGCCCTGCTCCCCTCGTGTCCCGCCCAGGAGGACACGCGTCTCCAGGTTGAATATGCAGCCCGCTGTCCGGGGGGTCCTCCCTATTCCCAAGTCGCACTGGCTCCAAGAAGAACCCCCGAGTCCCCAGAGCCCCAGGAGGCGCGCCGCCCTCCTCACCTGCTAACACGGAGACCCACTGGCTGCCCACACACAGGAACAGCCCCTTCCGGCTAGCATCAAACCAGAACTGGGCATCCTCCATTTTGGTGCATGGAGGCCGGGACCCCAGAGTCACCTTCAGGTCGGTTTCTGGGGGGAACAAGGAAGGGGAGTGTCCAGAGAACATGCTCCCTGGAGGAGGACCCCTGACCCAGGCGGTCCCACCTTTGCCTCTGCGTGTGGGGACCATGAGGACACGGGGTCTCCATTGTGGCCTGCTCCCCCCCGGGTGTCCGCGGGGCGGGATGCACGCCGTCCGGCTTCCTGCCAGCCTCACTGCCCACTCCAGAGGGCGGCCCTCCTCCCCTTGGAAAAGCCTTGGTGATCGCACACCCACTGCCCTGCTCGCCGCTCAGACCTCTCTCCCTGGCGTCAGTTTATCTAAGCTTGAGTTTTGCCTAATTCCGTGGCGTTTGACCCCATCGCTGCTGGTGGTTACACCTCATTTCGAGCCAGGTCCGCACGTCCCGGTGATGCCGCGTGGCGGATTCACAGTGACATCGTTGTCGCCGCCAAGCCGACACCCGCACCTCGACTGTGACCCGGGGCACCTCGACCTGATGTAGCGCCCAGCAGAGCCCCAGGGGGGCAGTCCTGCTTCCCGCCTATTCTGAGATGATGGGACACATGTGCAAAATTCCCGGGGAGCATATGAAAATTCCACTGTGCAGGGAAATTATTTTCCTCTGTGTCTCTTCTTTTACTATAGCAATCATTCAAAGTTGTACCGTTCCTACAAAATTATTCAACGTAGCATGACAACAAACTGCATCAGTTTATAGACTATTAAAGCTCTCTCCAGCACAATAGAAAAAGCTACAGCTGGTGCTTCTGGGAGTTTGGAAACCCCATCCCAGGAGGGGAGTGTAAAGGCGGATGTGCTCGAGGGGCGTCCCCTGACTGGTGAGGCATGACCGTGAGGCTGAGGAGGGGCTGGGGCTGTCTCCCCTGCCTTGCTGAGTGGTGGGGGCTGCAGTGGGGGCGGGATCCGGCTTCTCCGGGGTGTTGTGTGTGGCTTACATACGCAGCATGGTGACTTCAGCCCCAGGAGACGCGAGCACGGGCTAAATGCTGGGGACCCTCTGGGCTGGGGGGTCACGGACAATTGGAATGTGCCTCTCACAGTTTGGGGTCCCCGCTGGGGTGGGGGCTGAGGCTTAGATGCCTATCAGAGAGGGATGGGGGTAAAGACCCCAAATACTGCTCTGGGGACAAAACAGGCAGCAGATGGAAGTCAGAGGCTCAAGAGAAGGAAGACGAGGTCAGGGAACAGCACTGGGGGTCCAGGAAGAACCAGGTTCTCTGGTGGCCATTGGGCAGGACCCCTGCCCATCTGCATCAAGCCAGTCCCTTTGTCAACTTAATAGTCACCTTCCTTTCTCTGTTACCAAGGGACAAGGCTCTCAGGGTCTGCCATAAGTGAGGGGGAGTGGGTGGCTTTGACCTACTAACCATAGGGATATTTTAGCACCTCATTATCTTCTGGCTTCCCCGGGGGGCCCTGCAGGACTGGGGGGATGGACAGCACAGCCAACTCGGGACTCCTGCAGGGACAGAGCCTTGCGGTGGCATCCGAGCCAGGCAGTAAGACCAGCTGCCTCACCAGGCCCTGCAGAGAGACGGAGAGCATGCTTAGAACATCGTTGCCAGAGAGTGCTTGGACCCACCCCTGGGCTCAGCCTGGCCAGACCCTGGTGGAGGGGTGAGAATGAGGACTGAGGGTCTGGCCACCTCAAGAGCCAGGTGAGAAGAATCTGCTAATAGGTTGGGAGTGTGGGGAGCACTGGGAGCAATGGTGGATAATTCTACACTGTTCTAAGGCAACAGCCACGGAAGGGGTTTTTCCTGTGAACCAGCCTAGAGTGACTGGGCTGCATTGTTCATCCATCCATCTGTCCATCTGTCTGTCCATCCATC